TTTATCGACATTCCATGCTTTCGTTGCTATTGCAATTTCGCCGCGGTACTTTGGAAATACTATACTCATAATAATGAAACTTGTCGGTAGGTAGTGCCATTACGCGGAAAATATGTCCAGTTTAACGCAATTAGCGAAATTACATCTAATCTATCTAATTACGTATATTACGAACATAATATATATATATAAGAATGTCGCGATAAAGGTATTCAATTGGAAAAAAAAATTATCGATTCTGCGTGACAAAAATCGGAGAGTCGAGAATGAATCGATTGTTTTTTCATACAAGATCTCGTCCCATTTCTCGCGATAAATCCTATAATAAAGGTAAGATTCTTTTCTCGACCGTACTGGCAAATATTATTTATTCAATCACAACGTTTCGACCCTTCTTTGAGTCCTTATCAAGTGATTTGTAAAAATAAAAATAAAATTATAATTTTAAGATGTCAAGAACGAACATAGTGTCGGTTTGATAACACGTCAAGACTCTTAGACGATAATTTTATTTTTATTTTTACAAATCACTTGATGAGGACTCAAAGAAGGGTCGAAACGTTGTGATTGAATAAATAATATTTGCCAGTACGGTTGAGAAAAGAATCTTATCTTTTTTAAATTTTGTCTGGCGATTCTCAAATATCTACGTTCTTAAATCCTATAATATCTACAATTATAACAATTGGAATAAAAGTAGCCAACTATCTGCTCTACCTTGCGTAGGAGTTTCGCGCTAATGCATCTGAAACCTAACGAAAGCTGCACAGATGCGATCGTTTCCCGACGTGCATCCGCAAACGTCGTTGCGGTAAATGCATTAGACGTCATTCTCCGGCGCGAAAAGCGGCATTTGCATCGGGGAGACGAGAATTGCATCGGGACCCCGCCGTTGGCGTTCCCCATATATATATATATATATATATATATATATGGCAAGACACATTCGTCATCGTTGTTCGCGAAAACGAAGGTGCCCGCGATAACGAGATCCTGCGCGCGAATGTGATGCATATGCGATCTGAAACTCGCCGAAATTCGCGAACACTCGCATTCTCGCGCTTGAAAATTCGGCGGCGCCAAAATTAGCGAGACGAAAAATATTTGTAAGTCAAACATTATTATATTATCGCGATATTATCAGCATGACCGAGATATATATTATCGGGGAGATTTTGCGAAATTTCTCCCCTACGAATAAAAGAGCGATGTAGGGCGCGTTCCAATAAAAGTCGCTTTCTTATATCACAGACGGTAGAAGCGATGTTTGAAATAAAGTTTATGTAAACAGGTGTAAGAGGGGGAATGTTCTTTATCCATTTTTGATCCGCATCTTTCTTTTCGAGATACAGTTGCTAGGGTGATTGATGTGAAAGCTAAGTAGATTGCAAGTAAAATAAAAAAAGATTATTAGGTGCATTCGATCTAAATCAATTTGATTTAAAGTTTAGATATAACTGTATTATTTTACACGTTATTTATAACGCGAATCTCGTTCTTAATAAAAAGTTTGAATAAGTAATTTATATTAATAGTTAATTTATATATCAATTTCAAATATTAATAGTAACTTGAATATAATTTCCGTATTTTACGAATATATTTTTTATTCAGTGTTTGTTTTTAATTACCAGAATATAATAGATTCAATTTTCTTTAGACAAAGAGAGAGATTGCGATATCATTTTCAGCCCTTCTCTGCAATATCTTTCCAAGGCAAGGTATGCAATGAGCTTCTTTTATATGAAAGACGCTCTCTCTCTCTCTCTTGTTCTCTATTGTCACTGTTTATAATCTTAGAAAATAAAATCTTAGAAAGAAAAAAGTACAAGTTGACATATTTGAAATTGTTTGCTCGGGGAAACAAAAGGTTTTGCGCGCCCGAGTTGTTTCATTGCTTCCGCGAGTAAGAAATGTGAATTCTCGCGAGAGGGAAGATCAATTCAAGGCTCAAAGGTTCCTTGCTTTCTCCGGCTCGCATTTCCCGGATTACAGTCGCCGCGTTCGAGATTCATTTTATTTCCCGTCTCGTTCGCGTTCGCGTTCCGACCATCAACTCGCTTCTCGAACGAAAATCTCCTTTGGATAGGTAATCCGCTTTGTTGACCAGGCAAGAGGTGAATTTTTGGTCCCCGCAAAGTCGATGGAAAGCCATAAGTTTGTAAACGCGACGCTTTTTGCGTAAAACTTCATTTTTTACGATATAAGTTTGGAAACACCCTACATTTTAGGGTTAAACAATCGTATGGCAGCGATCTGTTGATTTTCTGTATCAATAAATCGTTAAATATATTTAATTGACATTTTTGTATATGACAGATCGCTGCCATGCGATTGTTTAACTGTGAAATGAAAAGTTTGTGATGGATGGAAACTTGTGAAGGCTACTGTAATAGATAACAAATATCTATTAAGTTTATATTCTTGCATGTTACCAATATCTAGTTAAAGATCTATTTCTTTAGAGAATATATCTTTTAAATTAAGAGGATCCTTTTGACAGTTCTGTGCAGAGATTTTTAGTATAAATGAATCATAAAATAAATAAATCATTAAATGACATTTTTGTTTATAACAGATCGCTGCCATGCAATTCTTTAACTGTAAAATGTAAGGTGTTTCCAAACTTATGGAGGGTACTGTAAATATCTATTAAGTTTATATTCTTGCATGTTACCAATATCTAATTAAAGATCTATTTCTTTAGAGAATATATCTTTTAAATTAAGAGGATCCTTTTGACAGTTCTGTGCAGAGATTTTTAGTATAAATGAATCATAAAATAAATAAATCATTAAATGACATTTTTATTTATAACAGATCGCTGCCATGCAATTCTTTAACTGTAAAATGTAAGGTGTTTCCAAATTTATGGAGGGTACTGTATGTATGTATATATCACTGATTTCCCTTGCGAATTTTTCGGTTCGCGAACAAATTTCAGCATGAAAAAACTCTCAACGTATTATTACGTATAAACATGCAGATTCAACATTGTAATTATATTCATAGATCGGCACGCTTGGAAACTTGTAATCGTTTATACGCAAAACTCTTAACTAATTCCGGTAGTATGAGAATTTCAAGAGCCCTTTCACACACACACACAAACATTAAAGTGATCTATCCAAAGTATAAAGTAGCGGCGAACCGAGAGAATTTATTCGACGCAACACACTCGAGATGCGCGGCAAAAATAGCGGAACGAGTTCCCCCAAGTTCCTGAAACTGTCGAACTTGTATAACTTGAATGCTCTTTTGTGCAACTTTGACGAATGCTGTTCGCGTGTTGTAACACGCTTTCCTCGCGCGGCCCGTCGTTCCTTTCATCGAAAAATCACGCTGGGCCGCGTTTTTGTTATCTGCGCGTTCGATGACCGAGGGAGTATATCGAGGACGAAAAACTCAAAAGTACGGAACGGGTTTGACATCGTCGCTCGCGCGCGCGCTGATGAAAACTCGCGAGAGAGTGAGTGCTTTCCTTTTATTTTCCCGCGGAAGCGTCGCGAAAATCATTTTGCGACTTTTGCGACAAACGAGAAACTACTGCGTTGACCTGGCATCCCCATCCGAAAAATCAAATAACTGATATAAAAGTAAGTTTAATCATTTATTGATCATTTGCTACTCCAATTCTATTGTTTTTTATCGATCAGAAAGTTGATAGTAGGTAAAGAGGAAATGTTATGATTCTATACATTATATATAAAATCATTTTAATATTAATTTAAAAGATTTCTCGAATTATGCTCTCTTGAAATGCAATGTTGAATCTATTTATTTTATTTTACATTTTATTGATTTATTTAACTGAAGACATTGTGTTTATTAAAAAAAAAAAAAACGAACCAAACTATCTAGCTTGATGTATAATGTACAATAAAATATGTTAATTATATTAATTATATAAGGCAATATAAAAATCATTAGTATATTTAAAAAATAATTATTCTGCATAATCAACTTGTTTATTAACAAATATTGAATGAAACAAATATTGTAGAATTTCCATAAAAAATATTTGTTTTAAACTTCACGTAATATTATACAAATTATCTAGAATATAAATATTGCTGTCAAACACACGATGCTGAGATTTTTATATATATCTATATAAAATTGTTAATCATAAATATTTAAAAATAAAATCTAATCTAGAGTTGCGAAGAAACGATCAATTTTACAAATAATTTTATAAATAATAGGTTGATAAAATTATAAATTGCTTGCTTTGTGATCGCTGTCGCTCAATCGTTCTCCAAATCTTCTCTTTCTCTCTCGATCACTCTTTGCTTCTTCACCACTCAACACTCATTCGACACTTTCTCGCGAAAAGACAATTAATTACGATTATGCGCGTGTATTAATAATCACAAGAATACGACAATCATATGGCACTGTACATTGCTAAATTTTTATTTATTAATTGTACCCTATGTGCACTTTATATTTTATTTTATATGGAAAAATGCGAGACATACTTTGAGAAATAATACAATTGCCACATGAGAACATTTAAAATTTTAAATCGACGAAAAATTCAAAATGCACGACTAAAAATATCTAAATCTGATATTGAAAGAAATATTTGTTGTCAATAACTATCGAAACTCATCAGAATGCAATAATTGCTCGATATTTTATATAGCATTTTTGCCATTAATCGCACACGACGCACGTATTTAATTTTATATTGCGACGAGAGAATATGAAAATCACAATTACACGAAGTTGACAATGGGAGATGTGTCGCGATTATTAATTTGATTCGAGAGATAATACGCGGAACGATATAATGTACACCACGAGATATTTTTTATTCATTCGAAAATATGCACTCGCCAGGCAAATGGTAACAAGATAATACAATAGCTTGCCGCTTCTCGCCGAATTCTTGAAGCGTGATGTCACATGACGTCACGTGACGTAGCGCGCTTTCGTGTTCAATGACGCCGTTAGCTGTCAGCCGTCACCTTGTTATTGAGCTCCGAGCTGGCTTATTTGTTTCGTGTGTCGTATTATTTCTCAAAACGCGATCGTGATATCTACTGGCAAATGCCACTCGTATTAAAATGAAAAATAAAACGTATCATTAGTAAACGTAAAAAGCGGGCTTAGCTACACTATTTATTAACAGCAGAGAATTTGGTCGAATTTTTTTAAACCGCGCCGCATTAGGCGGATACTTAATTATTTTTTATTTTTGTATTCTTCGTCGTAATAATGTAAAACAAAATTAACGTCGTAATATCGGGAGTGCTATATAAAGTGCCGTATGATGGTATTTTAATATGGTGGATGATCATATTTTAATAAGTAACGCGATCGTAATTAATTAAAATTTTCGCGAGTGAGAGTTATAGTGCGACGAGGAGCAGCAAAGAAAAATGAATAAAAGAGGAGAAAGAAGAGGCAATAACGGAGTTAATCGTAAAGTAAACCATTTACACAATTTTATTAATTTATTACATTTATATTTTATTTTATTCGTAAAATTAATTGTTGCTTTATTTTCGCAAAAAAGATTCATTTTGCATCATTATGTTATAATATAAATAAAGTAATAAAAAGTGATATTAGAACAAAGTAAACAGAGCAATAAAATAAATTCATTATTAATTTAATTATGTCATACATTCAAATTTAATTTCGCGTAATGAGAATGATTAATGGAGGTGCAAACGAATCTCAGCGAAAAAACCTTTCAAGCTATCGCGCGCGTATTTCACCATCCTTTTTGATTTATTGCACTTTTAAAGTTTCAAAGAAAGAAGAGGAGAGAATAAAAATAAAATAAAAGTTATTATTTGCGAAAATAAATTTTACAAATTTTCTTGGAAAAGTTGATCGATTCTATGTAAGATTGTATTAAATATTAAAAAATGATTGCGCTCAGAAAATAATTTGCTCATAAAATTTATGTAGCATATAACCATCATATTATATTACACATATTATGACGTATCTATACACATGTGATAACGTTATTGATATCCTTTGTGATTGCCATTAAACGAAGATTATTATATATCAATATACCGCTATCTTTTAGCATCATTCGACATTTTTCGCTTGATCGACGACGATACTATATATAACTCTAATCTCTTCGCATTTTTCTACCGACGTTATTACATGCTTGATAGAGATTGGCAGAAACTGCAAAAGTCTTTTAAAATTATCTACCTTGACGAGATATTTCTGCTGTGCGCACTAACCTCCTTTTAAGATCACCTTCTTGACAGCCTACGACACTCTTCAACTTTAACGATTTCACGATCATTTTGGAATAAAAGCCGTATATATATTATACTTTCATAAATTTATATCTCGTAAATTCGGGAAACTCGATCACGATGCGTTCTCGCGTACAAGAGTTCAGAGATAAAGAATATAGCGTTCTTAATTCGTCGAAATATTTTTTATGTGACACACAATCATGATAAATCCAATGGGTTCGGGACTAATCAACCAGCAACGAGATAGGCGGGCAAAAACGAATGAGAGTCAGCTGCTAATTACGCGAAATGCGATTACTGCGAGATTAGCGCAACTGTGGCGAACCGCTGATACTTTCGTCGCCACTAACGAGCCTTTTTCCCTCTTTTTTTTTTTTTACTCTTTTTCCCGTTGCTCCGACGAATTTTTCCGACCGACGAAAAAAGACCGGGAAAAATGTCATCGCATCGCGCGCCTTCCTCTCGCCTTTATTAAAAGATTGCATTACGAAAAACATTTTCGCGATCCCGAACGGTCTTGTACGTTTTTATTTTTATTCTTGTTTCTTTCTTCTGCAAAATTTAATTGGTTCTGACAATGAGTAATGTTATTAATTTTTTCTTTTTGTTATATTTTATATATTCTCTTGTTGAAATCTTACGCACATTAGAATCTTTTTTTAATTTAAATTTAATTTTCAATCATAAAATGAACACCTTTTTTCGGATTGCTTTACATTGTTCGAGCTATCTTGTATTTTACATTCGGAAATGTATTTCACATATTTAATATTAAATATTTATTTTTAGAATTTTTTTATATAGGTACATTCTTAATCGATAAAATCCTAGTTTTTTTCAAGAGTTTAAAATTTTAAATTAATTTTAGTAAGAGTTCTGGAAATTAAACGTAAGAAATAAGAATCCAAAGATATAAAATTCCAATTTCCCTTTTTCATTATACAGGGATTGATAACATTCGTTTTTGTTTTTAATTAGAATCGATTTTCAAGCTTTTTATATATTTCTCGGAGATTTATATTTCTCATTATTAGATCTCTTATTATTATTTGTACAGCAATTTCATAAAATATAAATTTTGAATTTGTATCTATCTTTTTTCTATTTTAAAAAGCTATCTTTCGAGGAAAATGTTAGGAGAAACATGTTCCTAGGAAATATTAAGATAATGCCTCACAAACGTTCTTTTCTCGCTATTATATATATATTAGAAGTGATATCAAATGATTAATGAACATCGCGTGTTATTATAATTATTCGTCAGTTGCGTGATATGAAGCTATTAGGTAATGAAATGGGTATAACGACGCGTAAAAATTAATTTAATAATATATTGCAAATGACTAATTATATGAGTGGTTCAAAAACACATTATTTGAGACATTATCTCGTCTCATTTCTTAGAAATGAGAAACGTGTCTCTTGATGTATAAATTTATTATTAATAGAAATTACGGAATATAAATATAAATAAAAGAACTGGATATTCTTATTTGTCGATATATTTTGGTCTAAAACAGCTTTATTTTATTTTTAAGTTTATTAATAAATATATTTCAGGGAAGAGCGTAGCGTAAACAAATTACGTATTAGAATTGATAGTCTTTCGGATTTAATCACTATTAATGGAAAACTGGAAATTATTTCATTTCTATCTCATATCATTTAGCGTCTGCGGCCTCTGATTGGATCGATTTGTTCTGTTTGATTTTTAATTAAACTTTATATCTGTGTCTCGATAACAAAAAATTTATAATTATATTATCATCTATCCATTTTTGTGAAACATATTAAAGACCTATTCGCGGTGAAATGATTAAAGGTAAAATATATATTCTGTTGCTAATTGCGATTAATGATATTCTGATTCGCACAAAGAAAGAGAGAAACGGAGAGAGAAAATGAAACAGATAACATTGATAATTTTATAAATTAAAAATTTGATAATTAACTTGAAAATATGTTATTGCTTTATTGCATCGATTTATTGATTATAAATATATTTTGATATATTGCGATAGAACCTTAATCGACATTTGGAAATTATTCAAAAAAACTTGCTTAAAAATCTTGTGCCGTCGGGAAGTTTTATCACGTTTAACACGTTGACTGTCCAGTGAATTTTGTATGTTTTACCGCTAAAAAGAAATTGAATTTTCATCATCATAAGTACATAATAATAAAATATTAAAATATAAAAACTTTTATTTCTCATTATCTTATTATTGTTTAATTATAATATTTATATTAATAAAACATCAATAATATTTAATAATTAATATTAATTATTAATATTTTATTATATTAATATTTTTATTATTCTAATATTTTATTTTATATTTTTGTTCGATAACATTTATTATTGTTGCAAGCATTTTGAAAAATTGATAGCATCGATTATCAGAGACCATTATGGCAATCAACATGTTAATAATAATTGTGCTATATATATTGAAATGGTGGACGAAATTAATATTCACGAGAGATTCAGGTGGAATTAAAATTAGAGAATTTAGCGCGAGCTTGTTGACGAGATTTTCGCAGAGAAGAGATTTCAATCGACGTTAAAAGAGGATTCTAATTAATCCCAGTAGCTGTTAATAGAAGTATAAAGATAGAACACTAAAAGCTCTTTACACATTGGACTATTTTAACGAAGTCTCGAATTCGAATTTAGGTAGTACCTATTATTCGCGATTTTAAACAAAGCGAATGTGACTCAAAATTGTGAGAGGAAGGGGAAATGTGCCTTAATTAAAATCACGAGTATCTACAGGATTTTTTTCCAGAAGGGAGTATAATTAGATTTTTAATTTTTTGTTCTTAATTCTTTTAAATTTTATTTTTTTTGTTATTTTTATTCTGTTATATTAAATATGTAAATAAATTCCAGTTTTTATTCAAAAGGAGAGCAAATGCTTAATTTTTTTACTGATTCCAAGGAGGGGATGCTCCTTTTGCTCTGCTCATGATTAAAATATACGCGAATCGTCACATTACATCCTTTGGAACTTTTTTCATAATTCTCTCTCTCTCTTTCTCCCGGATAAAGCTGGCCGAGTGTTTTAATCTCGGCCTCGGTCGGATTATAAGACGCGCAATGACAACAGCGAGCGTTACAGGCTGCACGTAATCCTGTAACACTGCTGCAACCCACGTAATCCTGTATCGCGTCTCGTACCTGCGGTCCCGAGATAAGAAGAAATCAGCACCGATATTCGCAGTGGCATCACGTATCTCTCCGTCGAAGCGAAACAGCTTCCGCCCTTTCGCCACTGGGAGAAAAAAAAAAAAGGATAACTGTTTCGCCGCGCGAAATGTTTCTCTCGATATGCTTCGATCACTCGTGATTACGAAATTACGCTGCACACAGGATTTCGCGAGGAGCAATGTTAAATTGATTCTCGAGCGAGGAATGCGGCCTTTTCTCTCGACGAATAATGATAGTTCCTTCTTCCGAGAGATCACCGGAAAACTATAAGTGCGAAATAGTTCGGTAAATTTTAAACTTGCAGATTGACTGCAAGTCAATCAATTAATAAATATTCATTAAATTAATTTATCTTTTATTAATTTTATTAATATTTATTAATATTATATATATATAGATATTTAAATATTAATAAAACAAATAATGTGTAATGCTCAACTCTACATTTGTATTAAAACAGTTTAAAGTCATATCTTAAAAATTTTAATAAAGCTGCAGTAGTTTTCATTACAGTTTTTATGCTAAAATTAACATTTTTTTAACTCAATTATTATGCAAATATTATTATTAAATCTCGGTCTTTTTGAAACGCAACATAATTTATAATGCTAGTAGAATTTTTTTCTGTGAAATAAATGTAATAAAATTTTTTTGTATCGCATTTTTGAAAGATTGAAAAAGTGAACGTCTTTTGATATTAATTGGGAAAATAATCGTTTTGTTCTTTTCATCAAAATATGTGTTTAAATATATGAAAAAAAGCTGTAAAAGATTGTTGGGATTGCGTCACTTCTGCAGTGCAAAGTGGTTATGGAGAGTGTGAGAATAAATTCTCTCTCTAGATACGAGACTGGGAAGAGAGCAAGCAAAGTCATAAGCATTACCCGGGGATTTGTTGCATCTTCGTTTTTTGCTCTAAGCTGTGCATAAGAACATGGCTTTCCGGCCTTTTCTCTTCCCATTACGGTGTATTAACAAGAAACGA